TGTCTAAGGCTGCTGCCTGGCACAGGGGGTCCCGCTCACCTGGGGTGTCACAGGCCTCGGTGGCTGGACTGGGGACCCCTTGTCCTGGCCCGGCAGCACTGTCCAGTGCTGGTGTCCATGGCCAGCCTCGCTGTAGCATCAGAGGGGCATTGCTTGCGCTCCTCACGTGGCTCTTCTGGGCACAGCTGCCGGACCTGGGGCAGCGAGATGTTGGCGGCCATGTTCCCGAGACGGTGTGGGGCAGGCGTGGGCTGAGCCACTTCCACACGCTCTAACCCTGTGGCTGGACCTCACCAGTGAGCCGTGCCCCACTGATGGCTTCTCCCAAGGCCGTGCTGAGGACATCGATAGCCGCTGGCTGCGGGGGAGCTGGGGATGCCGGAGCGGGCTGGGAGGGAGTGTCCGCACAGATATCCACCATCTGTGGCCTCTGCCTGCTGCCGGTGCTCTGCCTGGGATCAGGCCATGTCCTGGCAGCCTTGTGAAGGTGCAGCGCTGCCTCTGCCCGCAAAGAGTGGCGAGGTCAAAGTGCGGAGTGTTGTTTTCCTCCTCTTCCCTCTAGTCCCCAGCTCTAGAAGCAAAGAGGCTGTAGTGGAGCAGACCTTAAGGGTGATCGTTCAGGTCTGGGCGGGTGATTCGGTCCTTTGACTGTCTCCTCCTGGGGTGCTCATCTGAGCATGTGTGTCTGACCCCACCATGGGTCTGCCTCATGCCCTGCCATGCTGCTTTCCTGTCCCGGGTGTCCCCTGCCGTGGGGACAGAAGTCGCTTGCTGTGGTGCTGCTGAGAGTCGTGGTGGAGGGAGCTTGGCCCAGGATGCTCCGTGTCCCGGGGGGTTCCTCGAGGCTGCGCCTGGATGTGGGGCGAGGAGGTGAGAGCCGGTGAACCGGCCTTACGAGGGGCCTGGAGGGAGCTGGGACAGGGCAAACCTGAATCCGACTGATCATGGCAATGGTGAGCCTACAGAAATCATTAAATCTTTGCCACCGATCTGAGGTTGTCTTTGAAAGGGGTGATTTTACAAATTAATGGGCTCCCTTCTGGTTGCTAGCACTTCGAAGCGCGGCTGTCGGGGCGGGCTGGTCTGCAGGCAT